TGACTGTATATATATATCTTAAATACCAACAGGCTGTAGTACCCTTTCACAATATCAATGAAGTATTTTGTATACCTCCTCCCTCATGTAAAGGGAAAACCCTCAACGTACATAATAAAAGGCCCCCATGTCTGATATTTACCTCTTTATATATTTTATAAGACGTTCTTCACTTCTGAGATTAAAAATCTACCAACATGGTGAAGGAGGCCGGCTGCAGGAACGCTCTAATCTGACGCCGCAGGAACAGATCCACACTTACTTCATTTTCATGTGCAGGATCTCGTCGTTGGTCAGAACATTCCTCAGGAAGATGGCTTTCTGGTTGTCAGTCATGTGGCAGACGAGCGCTAAGCACTGCGCCGTGGACCTGCAGGGGAGCAAACGCCTGAGTGAGCTGCTGGGAGGGATCATTTCACAGTCTGTTCACTGTTAGGGACATAAGGAACAATCAGATCTCTGATATCAGATGGAGCTTGGCCATTTAAGGCTTTATATGTGAGAAGGAGGATTTTAAATTCTATTCTTTTAAAACAAGGGAGTCAAATTTTAAAAAGTAATCTGATGTTTTCATCCTTGGCTGAGTAGAGAGGCGTGCTGCAGCCCATGTGCTTGTTTTATTCCTACACTGAGACACACCTACTATATTCTAATTATAAAAGTTATTTCCAATATTTTCAGAGGTAAAGCTGACTTTAATTCAGCTTCATAGCTAAACCACAAGTCATTATGCTAATTAAGCTCCATCAAATGGATTTTTACTTCAGCTTCTCTCTCCAGTGCCAGACTCATGCTTCAGTCAGGAGCAGCTTTCCTGCTGCAGCTGCAGGAACAGTTCTTGTTCGTTTGTCATAAAAACAAACCCACTTTTATAAAAGTGACTGATATTTAGTTTCAAAGCTTATACACTACTGTGACTCTCAGTGTAATGCAGCCAGGATTCCTGAATCAGGGGTTGAATTTGCTTCAGATCATTAAGAATAATTAATTCTCCAGGTGTTTCATCAACGTTCTGGATCTATGGACTGATCTACTAATGAAGGATTCATCTTAAATGTTCTCCAGTCTGAATTATGGAGCAAACATTCCCAGTATTTCCAGTCTACCCACCCCCGGACCATGACATCACTGGTCAGCAGCTGTGAGACGCAGGGACTCCAGTCCCACAGCTTCCGAAACGTTGCACAGTCGCTCTGGAGGAAGCGCAGCGTGGCGGCCATCAGGTCGCGGAGCTTCATCCTTCTGGGGCCATACCGGACAGCCGCTGACTGTTCGCTGGTGAAGAACAGCCTCTGGAACACCGGGGGGGCACTGCTGAAGTACCGCACAGCGAACCTTGGATAGAGGAGAGGAGGAACGTCAGCGTTTCTACCTTTCTGCACACAGCAGGCGTGACAGGGCGCACTTACGCGTGGGCGTCGGGGCTGATGCTCAGGAGTCGACTGAGAGCCACACACAGGCGCTCATGGAGGTCGTGGTTGATCCTGCCGCCAGCTTTGACCCGGTCCGCGCTGCGCTCTAGCAGGTCGAGGATCAGCGGGCGGACGTGACGGGCGACCAGCAGAGTGTAATCCTTCTCCAAGAGGAGCTGAGCCAAATAATCCAAAATGCTCTGCCTGTCCTGCTGAGTCCATATCTGCAGGAAGGGAGGGGGGGTGAAACACAGACAGTCTGTCAGCTCTGACGGAGCCAGGTCCCCCCTGCCCCTCGCTCAGCAGCGTGTCTGTCTCTATCACCTGCAGCTCCGCCCCTCCCTCCATCCAGCCTCCTTTTATCTTGGCTCCAATCCGCCTCTGCTGACACCTGTAGTCTGTTTGATTCTTAGGTCCTTTTTGGCGTTACTCTGCTTTTTGTTTAATACATTTCTTTTTTAAAGAACCTCTGGCTGAATTCTGTGTCTGCTGCTGTG